TCCAATATCCCCAACATCCAAGCCTTTCTGCCCTTGAAAGCCTTTTGTGCTGCTCGTGCTGCAGCTCGCTCGATGGCTGGCCCGGATGTTGAGGCTGATCTTGCAAGTTCCACAGTGAGACCCACCAATGGTCTGAAGCTGCAGCAGTTGACGGCTGCACATCCAGAAGCTTGGCTGAGTCGACTGGCTGCGACGCACGAGAACTTGCTCCATGCTCTGGGCTTTCAAAATTTGGATCCAGGCAGCTGTTGGGACGGAAAGATGTTCACCTTCTCAGTTTGTTGCAGCGTGGGTGAATATGTTGACAATTGCTGGCATAGAGGCTATTCAGACGAGCGGTGCTGCCATCCTTTGCGGGCTCCAGAGTTGGGTAGTCAGGACACTTCTTGTCCAAGGAACAGGCATCTACTAGATTTCACTCAATTTTGTATACTTGTGCATTGTCACTGTTTCTATGTTGAGATGGACCCGCAAGCTGGGTTAAACTAAAGACTAATCATAGATGACGATAGAAGCTACTTAGCTACTTGCTCATGATTCATTCAGAATCAATGTTTTTTAATGTAAGAAACAATGAATCAAATCAGATAGTACCCGAAGGGCTTCACCAAAAACTTCATTGGACAATTGTACTTGCCATAGTTCTACAATGTTCTACATTGACAACAGTTGATTTCTTTAGCAACTATTATTGCGATGTGTCGATCGATAGATGTTTCCTGACGTTGGTTAGTTTCTTTCTCTCCATCCGCCAGCTTGTTGAAAATGCACTACCAAAGCCTGCCGGGTTGATTATTTATACATGTTTAGAGGTTGATACGGTGCAGCTACGCAGCTATAGCCATGGCCTATCGAGTCCCTTAAAAATCCAGCAAGCACTTCACCACTTGTGGCATCCGCAATGTAATGAAGACCCCACAAACAAATTAAACTTCAACCCAAACAAGCCAAAGAACCCTGTCAGGAAGCATTGCAGGTAGCCTTGACTGAGCTGGCAGGTGATTGCCAAACACCCAGCCGTGCTGCTGATGCAGTAGCCCACTGGCTTCAACATCCCAACGGCAAGAGTGGCAGTCGTTCTCTCAGCAGCCTGGCAGCCGAGGCCCTGGAATTCAAGGCTGACTGTGCTACACCGGAAGAGGGTCAGGATGTATCGCAAGAATTGGAAGAGCAGCTTGAAGATCAATGGCTGCCAGGCCCAGCCAGTGGACGTGGTCCAGCCTGCAGCATTGTCCTTGACCCAGACCTCCAGCAGGGAAGTGTCGTGCGGGAAACCGAATCTTTTGAGGCCTTGTCTCTCTCAGCACTGCAGCGCCGCTCTGAGCCTAGTGAAGCGACTGAGCTGACGAGTTTGGCTGAAAGGGAACCACAGGTCCAAACCCTACAGCGATTGCAGTCCATGCTGCGGAAATTACAAGCGAAACAGCTGCATCACAAACCGCATTCCGCTGGTACAGCTGCCAAAAAGTGCTGTGGAACTTGGCAAGCCGTCACGGCCGAAAAGGTCATGAAGGGCCATCAGTTGAGGATCCGTCCGGAAGCAACAGAGACAGAGCCTTGGCGGGAAGCAAAGTTGCTGGATGTGCTGCATGCACCGCGACCTGAAAGGCTTCAGACACTTTACCTGATCCAGGAGAAGGAGGGTCAAAGTACCTTTCAGGTTTATCGTGACCTTTCCACCTGGGAGATACAGATTCAAGTCTTGCCTGAAGGTTGCCATGAAGAAAGTTGCTCAGAAACAGAGAAGATGAAATGGCCAGAATGCATTTCCCATGGGCAAACCATTCGCAGCGTGGCGAACGCTGGCGTTTTCGTGAACTTGGCAGCTTTTGGTATTACGGATGGGTGCTTTCGAGAGGATTGTACTTACACTGACCATTTTTCTTCCGGCTCGCCAGCCACTTGTGCACGCACCTGTGCTTCAATCCGGGCATGTCGTTGGTGGTCGTTCTGGACCTCCCACACCGGAGGCACGTGTTGGTTGAGGCGCCACGACCAACAACGTGACGCTATGTTGGAGTCAATGACAGCCTCCAGGGACTGTTTGCCAACTTTCGCGCCAACGGTGGCCGAAGTGGAACCAACACTTTTCCAGCTGGCCAAAGATGCTGTGCTGGGACCGACCACCACAAGGCAGTGGGACCTGGCAAAAGTTCTGGAGAGCTTTGGCCATTCGACACCTTCACAGATTCAGCTTCGAGGCGACTCACCACTACGGCGCTCTGCAATATGTGTGGCGCAGAAGCTGACAGAGGCCACTGATGCTGATGATAGTTTGGCCCCAAAAAGGAGACGGTCCGAGGATTTCTTCCGTGGAGGATATGCCGCAGGATGCTGAAGCAGTGAAGCATGCGAAGATCTATTGGGATCTATTCATAATTATATCATATAATATTTGTCATATTATAACATCTATTCGGATCTATTCGGTATGTTCATGTGAAGCAGGCCGACTGATAATATGCTTGTCATCCTTTGCCACATGTTCTGCAATGACCAGGAGCCGCGGCAGCGTCTCCGCAGGGCACCCGGGTGTATTCTGCTTTCCCATGTTATCATGTTGCAGGTTTCATCATGCGTTCTCATGGCTTCTAATGTTTTTCATACTTTATCTATAACTTCAAAGTGTTTCTGATGTCTTCGCACCTTTCCACCTTGCACTGCTTTTTCAGTCTGTGGCTACGGTAACAGGATTATGATTATGTCCTTGTCATGTCCTTGCTGTACCGGATATCCATCATGTCCATCAAAGGCGTTGATTAGATCTCAGTGTGCGACGACATTTTTGAGGCCGGACGTGCCTGACTGGCTCACAGACATCTTTACTGGATCGTCGGTCCGGGTCTCAGCATTCGGACATGAAGTCTGGCTGTCGTATAGCAGCATTGTACTACTCCAACATCAAACTGCTCTTTGCCAATTTGCACTAGTTTAAGCAGTTATGTCGTAACACGTCTGCAGTGACTTTCTTAGCCCACATAGTTGTATGCCTACATGCAGCATCATGCAGCCACATTGCTGTTTTGTTGACAGCAAACAGGCAGGCACCTCATGTATTGAAAGAGCACTGGCCTAGGCTCAAGCAGGGCCGAATTCAGAGACCATGTTAGCAGAGTCTGTGCCTAAAGCGTTGCTCTATGTTTGGTGAGTTTCTTACTGTTTCTTGCGTCCCACCAATTGCTAGTGCTCCACTTTTGGCAATGTGCAAAGAGTCCTTTCAATGGGACTGTGTTGCCAAGACTGCAATTGCAACTACTATGTGTTTCCGTCATGAAGGAGAGCATCCACCAAACCGCACCCATCATGCTGAAGAAACAAACAAGGCAATAGCATTTCAAGATCTAAAAGAAAGGGCTGCTGTTGCATCTCTTTCACACCATCACAGATTGCACAAGGCTAAGACCAAAGGGGCACCTCTCTCTTGTTTGGCGCTGAAGCTGGTCCTTTGTGCGAAATTACGGTGAAGGCAAAAAAATGTGAAGAAGGCGCAAAGTGACAAGTATGTTAATGTCCCTAGATGAAACAGTAAGTGCCAACACGGTGCCCAGTACTTGGTGGCAACAGTTCTTCAATCTTTTCCCAAGTTCTGAAGCATTCTTGTCTTACTGAGTGCTCCTGGGTCCTGCATGCCAGGCCGTTTCGAGAGGTTCAAGTGCCCCAACGTTTGGTGGTGAGATGCATAAGTCAGCTTTGTGATATTTTATGGTGATGTCAGTTTCACTCCTTTAATGGCTGGCATTGCTGTTCCCAAGCTGCACATTTGGATGGATGGACTACGATATTCTTCTTTTGCAAAGGCGTGGACGAGACATATTGTTTTTAGCAAAGGAGTTGCGTGTTGCTCCAGAATTTGGTCATGTGAATATGTCCAAAGCAAAACTGCAGAGCTTCTGTGGTACTTTATGTTAGCGTGTACCTTCAAGATACTTCAAACATCTTGTAGCCAAATCCCCCGAATGCATGAGTTGCACAGCTTTTTATGCTTTGCAAGAAGCATCTTGAGGCACGGCTCATTGGCAAGGGTGGCGAGGCACACTGATATGAATCACGGACAACATTGGACAACATGACAAATTGACAATTGACATGGAACTTGTATCCTCCGTGCTGGACTGCTAAGTGCAAATGGAATCATTCAGAGGTCATTTTTTCAACGCATTCTTGCGAAGTGGAGGTGATCATGTCCATGTGCAGCTCGACTGGAGCTGACATCAAGGTGGGAGTTCTCAATAGTTCTGATTTCATCATTTCAGTCTTCTTTTCAACCGCTGCCAGCTGCTTCCTATGATCGACCCATGTAAGACCCTACTGTACAAACTGATACAAACTGCTCGATGAATATCCTGTAGGTCCGACAGGAGACAAAGCACCTGGGATACAGCCGGGTGCCACTGAGCTCAGGCCGAGCAGGTCACAGAGGCTGACATCTCCAAAATCAGAGCACAAAAACTAATTTCTTCAAACTGTACTAATCTGTGCGTGACAAAAACAATCGGGATAAAACTCTGTGTAGCCTGTAGACACACAAAAGCTATCAAAGGCAACAAAATATATCAATGTTTTTACATCGACACCCTGTGTTTTTCCCGGAGGTGTTTGTTGCAGCTTAGCCTAGGCCTCGCAATCATCACTGGTCCGGAAAAGGCGATGAAGGCGTCAAGCGGGACTTGGCGATCCCAGAGCTGCGTTGGCCAGGAAGGGCAATGGCAAAACAATAGACTTTTTGGAGCCGTAGCCTGCGAAGAACGCAGTTTCACCCCAATCAATGAGCGGCCTGACTTTCTGAGTTTAATTGCTTTCGTTGTGCATAGGGTCGGTAGCTTGAAAAGAAGTTTTGCTGTAAGATCTGTCAGTCAGTGGCTCCTTGGGCACGAATGAGCACTATACAGTAGATGACGGCAAAGGCACTCCGTGGCACTCCAAATGTTTCAAAGCTGATCACTTTTGGAGCAACTGCCTGACCTTGAGCTGCAGGTGGCAGAGGAGTTGGTGAAGCAAAGGCACCTCGTCCTGTTTGTTCTGGAAGGGACCTTTGTGGAGACTAGACCACGAACATCATCCGATACCATCCGATACCTTTTCTTTCCATGTGCTGCAGACAGGTCCCTGCTTGGTTCATGCTTAGGAATCAGCCAGAACCAAACAGCAGTCCGGTTGGACCACGCACTTGGAAACAAAATCCATCTGGCTAAAATCCATGGGATCTTCCGCTAAGCCCTCCGGAGCTAGCTCAAGACCAAAAGTCTTTACAACAAAATGTGCAATGGCGTGAGATATGGCTGCGTTCATAGCAGCAGGATAAATTTTGGCTACTGCCGTTCTAAAGCTGCCCGACTCATCCCGCCCTTGGAGCGCCGCATGTTGCCCTTGGCCATGTGGACAACGTCCTCCTTCTCCCAGTCGTAGAATTTGGTTGCGGAGCCACGGCAGACGAATGAGTAATAATGTGGTGGGCTTTCTTTCGCCTGGGGCACCCAAACACGCACTGATCGAACGTGACATAGGAGGCGCACTGGAGCCTGCGAGCCACTTCATTGCCGCTGCTGTCCATATACCCGAGGGCCTCTGATGGCGAGCCCACATCGGGTATGCCGGATGTTCGACAAATGCACATGTCGAGGATGAAGCGCATGAGAGTGTTGCCAAGCGACGTTTGAGCCCACTGGCGTTGAGACTTTGAGGGCAGCCCCCATAGTTCATCGTGAGAACGAACTGGCGGTGGCCCGTCAGCAAGCAACCGCGCCGCCGTGAAAGTCTCACAGGGCGGGGGGCCACCAATGCCCAGGATGGCGCCTGAAGGCATGGTTCTTCGCCGTGGTGAGGTCGCTCAATTCGCCTCTTGTAAACAATAGTCTACACTCAGGCAAAAAAGCTGCACTCACCCAATAGACCAAGTTAGATTATTTTTATCTATAACCTAAAATTTTATCGCTTTAAGAAAATACCTGGATCCCCTTGATCGTGGAAATTTCCACACCAAAGCCAAAATCGATCAATTTTGCCAAATTCAAGAGAAAAAGAACTCCTGAACGGTTATTTCCACTCCAGAACGCTTTTTTTAACTCCAGAATGCTTCCGAACGGTTTTGAACGCTTTTTGAACGCTTTTTTCCACTCCAGAACGTCCGAAGTGTCAGGAACGGCAAAAACCACTCTGGTATTCTTTTTTTCACACCAACCCCCAAAATCGATCTTTTTTGGGTTTGGAATTTAAAAATCCAGTATTTGGAAGCTCCAGGTAGTTGAATTCGACTATTTTTTAACTTTTTTTATCGTTCGACGATAAAATTTTAACTTTTCAACCCAAAAGCTCTGGTTAGGCTAATTCCTGCCTATTAGATTATTTTAGTTTTTAAGGTTAAATTCTATTTTTTAGGTTATTTCATGTTCTGTCTTTTAGGTTGTTTGCCTGTTTGCCTAAATAGTTTATTTAGCCGAATAACCTAAAAACTGTCTTGTTTGAGACTTTGTTTTCTTTCACCAAACTATATTTTCAACAGTTTAAACTAAAGACACAGTCTTTTTCCATATTTGTTTCCTTTGGATTTTTTGAATTACATGTCTTTTTGGCAAAGTTTTTCAAATGTGTCTTCATTGTTTTGTGAGTGATGTATGTCGCTTTCTTTTGATATATGCGGGTCTCAAGTGATTTTTTGTGCTAAAGTGAAGCCTTTTGTGCTAAAGTGAATCTGTAAATTTCAGCCGGATATGTTTTTGATGGGGCAAGCCAACACAGCATGGAAGCAACAAAACCACATGTCCAAAACAATATCTGAGCAAATGGGTGTGTTTCAACATGAAGTGTCCTTTTTTGACCCCAAAATGGTTACGTTGAAGGGAAAAAAGGTCACCTCTTTTTCAGACATACCGAAACAAGAAAAAAAAACATGTTTTGCAACAATGGCAATGGATAGTTTTTGGGAGCGCCAAGCCAGCACAGGATGAAAAAAAAACACGAAGAAAAATGAAACCAACAAATGTAAAAACAACAACACAAAGTAATGAATCAAAACATGTGAAAACAATTGTCCAAAACCTAATTTGTCAGCTGCATCGTTTATGAAACTCAGAGGAGTTCATGTGAATTCGCGGGTGCTCATTGCTCATGGGTGTTCATGTGTGTTTTTCATTTTTTTTGGCTGCCACCCATTTAGCTTACTCAGTGGGTTTCCATGCCCAAAAAGAAAAATCAAAGTAATTTTTAGTGAGGTTCGCGCGCGCTTTTTGGGTATAAAATGGATGCCCCCCGGCGCGCGAACCCAACCAAAAAAACAAGTTTAGACACTTGCTGATTTGGTTGGTGGTTTCGTCTCCTGCGCTGCCATTTGGCTGCAAAACCTGTACCTTGGTGAACAGATGGAAATCCCCGAGTTCTTGGTCAGCTTGGACTCGACGGTTATTTGTTTGTTTTCAACATAAATTTGGGGCTAGAGAACCCCAAATCATTGGCACATCCTGGTTTTGAAGGTTTTTTTTTGAAATCAACTTGAACGTTGGCCAGTAACAGATTCATAAACAAAAGCTGTCAAGACTGGAAGGTTTTTCACTTGTAAGAAAGTAGTGGCAAACACAAAATGTTTGAAGAATTGCTTGGTGAGGACTGGTTGAGTTGTATTCAAGTTGTTTTTGCAAAAACTAAACGGAGCAATCCAGCCAAGACTTGATCAATCACTAAGGGGGCCTCCATCCCTCAAACCTTTTTACATCAAACACCTGCCCAGAGATTTGCAATCACCTGGGGCTCTCCATTCTTGGCCTTTCTCCCAATTTAAAAAACCCAACGAAACCACCAAACAATACAAGTGACTTGAGGTGATCAGCATTCATGTCTTTGAGGCAAGTAAACCCAGAATTTACCCAAAATAAAGAGAAGGGTTGTCAATCCCAGAGCCCACCCATTACTACTTTTTTTTTCCTCAAACCTATTTGCAAGAAAATGCAACCCAACCCAGAGTTAATCAACCACTTGGGCCTTCCCATGCAAACCCATTTCCTGAAAATTAATCCAATTGTTTTGCAGTGACTTGGGGCGCTCCAGCCATCAAATTCATTCACATGTGCATGGGAAAATTTCTCCCAGAAAGTGTATGGTTGAAGATTTGTTGATGGAAAAAGTGATTGACCAAACATTCTTTTGACAAAAAACATTATTAAAAAATAAAAATAAAATCAAGATTTTTGCTGAATAAACATCATCTGTTTGACTAAAAACCAAGATTGTTTTGAATAAAATCACGTTTTTTTTTATGAATAAATCCAAGATTTTTGTGAATAAATCCAAGATTTTTTGAAGATGTTCAAGGAAATGGGGTGTAAGTTTGATGTAAGTTTGCATCAAACTTACACTTTTGAGGTGTAAGTTTACATCAAACTTACACTAAACTTACACACCAAAAGTGTAAGTTTACACCAAACTTACATATCAAAAGTGTAAGTTTACATCAAACTTACACATACAAGTGCAAACTTACACTTCTCAGTGTAAGTTTGATGTAAACTTACACTCTTGATATGTAAGTTTGGTGTAAACTTGCACTCTTGATGTGTAAGTTTAGTGTAAGTTTGATGTAAACTTACACCCCAACAGTGTAAGTTTGATGCAAACTTACATCAAACTTACACCTCATTTCCTTGAAAATCTTCAAACAATCTTGGATTTATTCAAAAAAAATATTAATTTTATTCAAAAAATCTTGGTTTTTAGTTAAAAACAATCATCTTTATTCAAACAAAATCTAGATTTTATTCAAAAAAATGATTTTAAAAGAAAAAAACATGTGTGTTTTCAAAAAAATGTTTGATCAGTCATTTTTTCCATCAAAAAAAATCAACCAAACACTTTTTCGGATAGATTTTCCCATGCACATGTGAATGAATTTGATGACTGGAGGGCCCCAAGTCATTGCAAAACATTTGGATTTATTTTCAGGAAATGGATTGGCATTGGAAAACCTAAGTGATTGATTAACTCTGGGTTGGATTGCATTTTCTTGCAAATAGGTTTGAGGCAGAAAAAAAAGTAATGGATGGGCTCTGGGATTGACAACCGTTTTCTTTCTTATTGTAAGCATGAATCTGAAAACTGCAAAACCCAAAATTTAATGGCAAATTCCAGGTTTGGCTGTGTAGAAATTGTGAATGCTGAGCAACCCAAGTCATTGTTTGTTTTTAGTCGTTTTTTTTTGGCATAAATGTCAAGGATGGAGAGCCCCAGGTGATTGTTAATCTTTGTGTTGGTTTTCTGATATCGAGGGCTGGAGGCCCTTTAGTGATTAATCAAGTCTGGGCTGGATTGGCCGTTTAGTTTTTGCAAAAAAAATTGAATACAACCAATCCTCACCAGGACTTTCTTCTTTTTTTTTGCCGTCCATTGCTTTTTGACAAATGAAAGGCCATCCAGTCTTGACAGTTTGTTTTTACAAAACTACTGCTGCCCGAACTGGTTTCAAAAAAGGCCCTTTCAAACCCTTGGATTGCAGATAATTCAAGAAATCAGCCCAGGGCTGGGACCTCCATCTCAATTTTTTTTAGTTGAAAGAAAGTGGATGGCAGCAAAACAAAACGACAAACAAACAAAAACACATGAAGACCCATACACACGCATGAACAACCATGAACATCCATGGACACCCATGAGCACTTGAGCGCGCATGAGCACCCATGAACTCACATGAATTCGTGTTTTTCCAAATACAATGCAGCTGGCAAATTGCTTGTTGAATCGTATGTCTCACAGTTTTTGAGCTTCTTATTTTGGGTTGTTGGCTATGTGAGTTTTTGATTTAATTGTTCTTTTCTTGAACTGAACATTAATTCTATTTTTATGTTTTATATTTTTTTTGCTTCTGTCCTGCGGTGGCCTCGCGTTCCGAAAAAAAAATATTTTCTGATTTTTGCAAAACATGACTTTTTATTTATATATAGTTAGTTATTTATTTATTTATCTATTTATTCATTCAGTTTATATATATATATATATATGTAGTATATGTATATATGAT